CCCAAAACAAAACCAAACAACTCCCTCCCAAAAACAACAACAACAACAACCCACCAAATAAACAACCCAACAACAAATAAAACCACATCAAACAGGAAGCAAGTAACGAACACTGAGCAAGTTTCAGTACCTGTAGTAGACAGCCCCGTCCTTGAGATAGGCCTCCATGTTCTGCTCCTCCTCATCTCGTGCCGGAGACACGTAGGACAACCAGTCTAGAGGGCGCTGACCGTCTCTGCGCTCGTTCGTGTCCACCTGTGCATTCAGTCCAATGTTCCGTTTATTCATTTATCTTATCAATTAATACTTAATCAATTGACTAATTAATAAATAATTAATTAGTCAATTAATTTTAATTAATTAATCAATCTTATTTAAATTTAGGTGTTTTTCACCCAGGTCGTCACAATTTAGATCTTTTTGGAAGATGGCTTTTCTGCTAACCCAGGCTGAGAGGGATACATACAACGTCCCATTAAAAAGACCGAAATGCTTATTAATTAATTAATTAATTTGATTTATTTAGGTGTTTTTACATCAATACCGACAAAATTTAGATCTTTTAGGAGGAGGATGGCTTTTCTGCGAACCCAGGCTGAGAGGAATACATACAGCGTCCCATTAGAAAGACCGAGACGCTCAATAATAAAATAATTTCCCAACACGTGAATTGAAATCGGGTCTCCTGCGTGCGAAGGCAAAGCTCCTAACCGCTACACCACAGAAGCAGGTATTTGTTTGTTTCTTTCTTTGTTTCTTTCTTTGGTTCTTTAATTCTCTCTTTGTTTTTTCTTTGTTTCTTTGTTTGTTTGTTTGTTAGTTTGTCAGTTTCTTTCTTTCTTTCTTAAGCAAGTGTTTTACGTCCCCTTTAACACACTCTAGATAATAAAGGGCAGGGCTGCTTCGATCCTGCCTGATAGAGTCAACCCACGCTGAGTTCATTATCCCATCAGCTGACGGAGGGACTCCATGAACACAACCTCCCCCATTCTGGAATTGAACTTAAGCCTTCTATGTGTGATAGCGAGCAGCCCAATGATTTAGTCATCGTAGACGCCAGTAATCCACACCTTACCCTACCCCATCCTTCCTACCCTACCATACCATACCATACCATACCATACCAGAGAGAGAGAGAGAGAGAGAGAGAGAGAGAGAGAGAGAGAGAGAGAGAGAGAGAAAATATAGATCTAGATAAAAAGACCCAACGAAGGAAAAAAATAAACCTTCATATTATGCTCATGTTATAAAATATTTCGTTGTCCGGTTGACATAAACAATATTATATCATTAAAGTTAAAGGAAAAAAATCACAAGAAAGTTTAGTTTTGGCTCAAAGCTTAAAACCGATTTACGAAATTTTCTCGCCTATCCAAGAAAGCTTCTCCTCTCAGCCTCTTATACGTGATAGGACGCTCAAGACCTCCATCTATCCTACCTAATTCGGGATTGATTTTTCAAATCTCACTTAAGAAAATAATATTTCATATTACGAGTGATGGAATGAGTTTTCCCAAAATTCAGTAACTTTTCTCTTCCAGTGATCGGAAATAGTGAGAAATGTTTACACTACTTTTCAGGATTAAAGGTAAATCTATTATAAAACAATTTGAAGATCCAAACCCAATTTAATACCTTAGTCAAATACCCCCCCC